GAGAAGCGGCAGTAACAACTTGGAATGAACTGACCTGCACCACCCCATTCCCTGCCCCCTGCGCCGCTGGGGGGAGGAGGTAGAGCTGGGAAGAAGAGGCAAAGGTGGGGGGGAGTGCTGTTGTTTTTAAGACCTGGCCTTGTTTTCTCGTTATTCTCTTAAGTAACCGTTTTTGTGTGCTTTTCTCTTTCTAGGTAGCTGTTAATAAATAGTTTTGCATTAAGAAAAAGCCTCTTTTGCCCGGGACCGTGGTTGGTGGGTGCTCCTCTGTTCCTGTCTCGATCCTCAGCTCTTTTATTACATTTTTTCTCTCCTCTCCATTTTACTGGACTGGGAGAGCTGCGTGGGTTTGGTTGACGGACTCAGCCTAACCCACGACAGCAAGTTTCACATCCTCCTAGCTACTGAAATCATAGGAATAAAAGTGTTAGTGTTAAAATTCTCAGAATGGGAACTCTAATAAACGGGCTCTACAAATTGTCTTATCTAATTACTGCAAATAAATTTCTTAAAACTATTTGTACGAAACAAACTGCTCACATCAATTTAGCCAGGAAAGAATAATCAACCTACCTTCACTGCCGCACCTCTGTCCTCAAAATGAACAAAAGCATAATCCTTCAACTTCTTTACTCTTTCCAGCTTTCCAAATTCAGAAAAGGATTTCTCAAGAATTTCTTCTGTCACAGTAGTGGCCAAGTTTCTTACAAATAAAACTTTCACCTGGTGAAAAAGTGAGAATGAAAGCTTTAATCTTTAGAAGTCAAATCTCAAAGGAAACTAGTAAGATATTATTCCCTTCTCTGCATTGAGAAATTTTTTGAGGGACCATATAAATTCTGTACCTGTTTAAAAAAAAAAAGCCTTTTAGTTGCCTGTATGAAGTTTCTACAACTTCTCTCCTTCCACAGTTCAAGCTTCCATGACCAGAAGAATATCCTACTTTGATTTTCTGCTTCTGGGACACTACAAATCCCAGTAAAATTTCAGTAATAGATCTCAAGAGGAGCAAAGAGTTATCCCAAAACACAGGGATACAGAACACGTCCCTTCCTATGCTGAACTTCACCTTCATGTCACTCTGGAAAATGGTTTTACAAAACACTCACCTAGTACTCGTTATCATCAGCAGCAGACAATGAACAGGCCAAAGTGCAAATCCAGCAGGATAACCCTGTACGCCACTAGTTCAGCTGTGAACAGTCAGTCACAACAGCACATTTCTAACACGTTAAACAGGTAACTAATTTTGCAGTGCTCAGACCACACCACCTCGCACGGCTCACTACAGAAGTGCTCTCTAACTGCTTTTCGTGCCTCAAAACTAGCGTTGCTCGGCTGGAACACGTCTTTGTCACTATGGCATAAAGAAATTCCTCCCCAAGCACAAGAGCATCCACTTCAGTTTCTACTTACCTTTGCCATGACTTCCGGATCAGGTTCCTCTACTGGATCGGCCCATTCCACTGTCACAACATTTCCCCAGACTTTTACTTTCCCACTCATGAGGCGGCGGCGAGCTTGTGCTGCTGACTTGTGATCCTCATATTCCAAGAAGCAAAATCCTCGATTCTTCTTTTTATCATCAGGTTGATGATATAAGATTACATCCACCAAACCCTCTGAAAAACAGGTCTTTGCCATTAAGCTTCAAAAGGAAGAAAAAATCTAGAGTCTACTCTAAAATGCCTTTACTTGTTTTTTCTAATACACAGCCTTTGAATTTAACACCTGACTGGGGGAGTGAGCACAAGAACAGCAGAACAAATAACAGATATCCATCCGATTTATCCAGAAACGAGTCATCTAGCAGGTGAAATTCTCCAGAAAAAAGCTTACCTTACAATTAGGATCTGCAAAACATCAACCTGAACAGTCTGTACAGTGTAAGTTTGCTATATTTTGTTTTAGCGTTTTTACATTTTTGAAAAGCAGTCAGCACTAATATGCAGCATCTTTCCACCTCCTTCCATATCTCTCCACAAAGAGGAGAGGTAACTAAATGAATATTCACCTTCTGTTTTCACCACCTCCCTGAAGTACTTATAAATAGCAATCCTAAAAAAGAAGTAGTAGATTAAAACTCTCCTACAGGAACAAGAGTAGGCGATCAAGACTTCAATCTCTTATTTAAAGCAGGAGCGTCCTTCCAGTGATGAGCTGATGACTCTTCTTCCTACTTGCTGCATATACTGGGGAAGAACACTGAAGAACTGGGACAGAAATTAATCTCTCATTAACTATTTCTACGATAACATTCTCTCTAAACTGATTTAGTGTTCCCTCCTTCCCATCATTCCTCAACATCACATCTGTTTGAGGCTCCCGAAAAACTCAGCAGCTGTAAAAGCAGGATCTGCTGTAGATGCAGTTACAAACACGGAGCCCTCAACAAGAAGCTAGAACAGGTAACAGAACTACGACCTTTGCTTTTTCTTTCTGAGTTCTTTTGTGCTGTTTCCACTTCCAATTGTAAACCTACAACATCACTCATTTAACAATCAGTAAAACAGAAAAAACAGTAAAACTAGTCCCTTTACGCTCCACTAAAAAAATCTATTCAATAGATAAAATTTCTACCAGAAACAAACTTGGAATCCAATGTGGAAACAATTTAAATGATAGCTGAACCCATCTGTCAAATAACTAAACCTACAAAATAGGGAGACTGAATGGTATTTTGGGATCAGTGTGGCAAACTCATTAAGAAGGTCTTACCTGTGACTTTACTGAACTCTTCTAATATGTTTTCCTTAGTCTTGTTCTTTGGAATCGACCCAACAAATAACCTGTTGTTTGCCACGGAGATACACACTCCAAGGTGCTTTCCAGGACGAATTTCATAGTTGTCACACTGAGAAAATAAAAAGTCACTTGTTTGCCTTATCCACAATAATACAGCTAAAGAGATCCTCAAAATCATCAAATCAGCTATTTCCTTCATGACCTACTATTTTTATACATAGCACATGCAATTCGCGTTGCAAGAGAATTACTACGACTGCAGTATTTAGGTCAGCAGTCACTTGGAAGAACATTGCCGAGCTGAGGTTTTCCATAGCAACTTTGGAAGTTCTGCTGAACGGAAAGCTACAAAGAAACTGAACAAGGAACAACACGAACCAGAGATAAATTGCATAAATTAATTCATTTCACCTACTGTTTATCTCAGACTGGAAATACCTTTCTAGACAACTGGTGACTGCTTCCTGCACTGGGACTCCATGTCAGTCCCAGCCGCTGTTATCAACATGCAAATACTCAGTGTTACAGATACTGCGAGTTCCTCCACTTCACTTCTGACAGCTTTCAAGCACTGAACTTACTGGCTGGGAGAGACTCAAAAGTCTGAATCCCCACCCCCACAGCAGGCATTTTGAACCTTGTAAAGTGAAAAATTTATGGAGGCCTAGTACGAAGTTTCAAAACTTACTATTAAAAAAGAAGTTAACCCACTGCTTCATGCTGGGACACACAGTTGGATTACTCTGAACACCAGAACTTCTGATAGGTCTTTAAAGGTACAAGAGTACAGCCTTTAAAATATATATCTATGTGCATATGAACTCAAGATAGACACCATCTTTGCTTCAGGTAGGATTTTCAAACATGACCTAAGAGGATGGCTGTTGGATCACCAGCCAGTTCTCATCCAATTCTTTAAAAGCAAGTTTTCAGCCATTTTCACCCTAGCTGAGACGTAGCCGTACAGACGACAGAGCAGTACCTTCAGCCACCTTCTTGACACTCAAGAAGGACTAAAACAATGTTAAGGCACCACAGGCTATCAAATAAGATCATTTTAAGGCAGACAAAAACATTTCGGAGTTTTGCTTCACATACAACAGTAATTCATAACACAATAAAACTTTGTGTTCCAGTGCCATGAACGAAATCTGAATCTGCTTTTCAAATTACATCTTAAGTTCCAAAGCCATTTTACCTACACCCAATCCCATTCCCACTGGTACCTGCAAACACAAGCAGAAGGCCTATCTGGTGTAAAGAAACCAAGGCTCCAAAATTTCAAGTTTATTTTCTCAAAGAACCTCATTCTGCTATCAAGGTTTAATTAGCTCCAAAATTAACATGTGTCTGCCCCATTTTCCTTTCTCCAGTAATCTGTGGAAAATATTTCATCCAAGTACAAGCCTGGCCTCATTACTGGATTATGGTAGGGTGCACAAGGTAGGGGTAAAGGAATCCAGATATAGGACTTGAGGAATATATTCATGTAAATTCACTTATTCGGTGCAATATCCAGGGTATGGGGCCAGTCTTCCATCAGTGGCAAATCACTTGCTACATCTCCTGTCACTTCAGCATCTTCCCTTTCATCTCCCACAATCAGTAAAAATTTAAATTAACAATTCTGGGCACCTTTAACTTGGTAAAAAAAAGAAAAAAGTTTCAAAACAATTTTTCCTTCATAAGTGACAGTAACTCATATTCACTTAAACACTGAAACCCAGGAGCACTGAATTGCAAACATATTTTGTGCATCTCCTTCAGGAAAACATCACAGTAGGTTCTAGAAAGGAAAAACAGCCTGAGCAGGGACACGCAATCCCCAGTCCTGGAAGAGCCCAATACAATAACTGCAGCTATTTCTAAATACATGGAAGTATTTGAGGAAACAAACACTGCAACATTTAAAAGGCAATGACTCCTCTGAAGCCTCACAATGCAACAGAATCACTTCCTAAGCTTCTCCAGGTTTCTGTGTTGGTTTTTGCCCTCAGCTTAACTAAACGTTTAGGTTTTCCCCCACTACTTCATATGGGATCAGCTGGATTCTGCTAAAGCAAACGAGATCAAGCATCTCCTCTGTTTTGCTTGAAAGTACCAGCAGTATTTCACAGCTATATCCAAACCCTTTGGAGATACACATTGACCTGCCTAATCCTGCTTTGTCCTCTCTGGCAGAGGCAGGGCCAAACGAACTAGGGCCCCCATCAGACTGCTGCCTCTCCTTCTAAGTCCCCAGGGACTGCTGGGTCCTTTGTCCAGCTGTCTAGATGCAGGCCAGTCAGCTTTCCACGTAGCAAGCAGAGTGCATCGCTGCCACTGGAAAGAACTAAGGGCCACTGGGAACCTTAATATGCACCAAGTCAGAGACCTCCACAGCAGCAAAGCAAAGCTGCTCTACTTAGCTCCTCGTACTAGGAAGGGTGATAAAACAAACACAGTGAAGCTTAAAGAATATCTTTTCCAGTTGTAACCAAGTAAGCTTTTACTATAATCACCCGCTACTCTCGCAGACTGCAGCAAGCTATAGCAGACCACGATAACAAAAGTAGAAAATTATTTGCGTATACACTAAATCAAATCAGGAGGCGATTTTTAGGAAAGTAAAATTTTGAGTCTGTCAATGGATGCCTTAATGAAACACTTCAAAGACTTCACTAAGAGATTACCAACATGCATGCTGTTTACATTATCCTTCCCAGTCTGAATACAGGTTACTTACCAGTTTAACTGCTTCCTGTGCTGCATCTTTACTACAAAAGGTAATGAAAGCGTAACCTCTGTTCTGACCAGAAAGAGGATCCATCATGAGGCGCAGATCCCAAATCGGACCAGCTTTCTCAAAGAGTGGTACCAATTCATCTTCATACAAGTCTCGGGGAATCTTACCAACAAAAACCTAAAAGGAAGAGGACACAAACAAAGCTTTTTTGGAAATCCAAACTTACTTTTAATACTTGAAAGCTCCTGGGAAAGGAAGTACATTGCAGCATAAACCATTACAGCAGAAACACTGTGGAAATGCACAAGACTGGAACTCCAACTTGCTCCAAGACAGTGAAAACTGTCAACTGAGCTTTCCACAAACTGTAACTGGTTTTAAGTCTGTCAAATGCAAAAAGTCCACATTAAATCATTTGTTTCAGATGCCACCATTTTCAGCAGAAATTGAAGGTGACACAGCAGGACAGGAGACTTGAGAAAAAAAAAATTAATACAAAACAAAGTCTACTCTTACAGCTATTTATCAAAGATTCACCATCCTGAAAGTTTCTGTTTCCTCCTTTCTTCCCGGTCTCTTCAACTCACTCTACAAACTTTAGACCCAACAATTCCACAAGACTACCACTACCGTTCAGCTCAGGTAATACACTCTAGGAGTTAGTAACAAGAAATAGAATTAAGGATTTAATTTGAATACATTCATGTTTGACCTACTTCCATCCACTCCAGAAGGACTAGAGAACTCTGAGTAATTCACATCTAAGTGAACTTGCTCTGAGCCTGCAAACTTGGTAAGTTTATGAACTAGAAGAGCAATAATAGACGTGACAAACACCAGGGGAACATCTTGCAAGGGTCACAAGAAACACCTGCAATAACTCTTTGTTAAAGTATATCGATAAGCTTGCTGAAATACCAAAGAATGTAAGTATTTGGTGTCTTGTTTTTCAGTTCCCCAACAAGAGTACTTTGGAAATCGGCGTTATTAGCGGAAACAATGTAAGAGACCTTATCTGGGCAGGATGCAACTGCATCACTTCTGGGCCTCTGTTGGAATCACTGACCATCAGACATACTTTTCCCAGTTTTGCTTCCTGAAAGACCTGTACAAAGCATACCATTTTACTTTTTCCTTTTTACTGTTTTAGAAGATTAATTATGAAAAGTCTTAACTAGGAAAAAATCCAGTTTCATGAAGAACTTTACAGAGCATTCTTGAGGGGTACAATTCACTTCTGCGCTCTAGACAATGCATCCTTCAGTTATTTCAACACCTGAGCCTCTTTGCTGTCCCTGCAACTAAGAAGTGTTGTCACTGCAGTGCCAAGAGCTTCTGCAAACCCTCCCTCCTTTCAATAGCACTTCACGTGCTTTGCAGTCAATCTTCCCCAAATGTCAGATTCAAGTGGTAATTAACATAGGCCGCGTGACTGCTTCACCTCATCCAAATCTACAGTCTTCATTGAAAAAAAATATGGAAGTGGAAAAAAATTCTGGTACAGTGCACAAACCTTTAAAAACCTCCACAGTTCTTCCGGTACAAAAGCGACATTCCATTTGTGTACTAAATCCAGCACAAGCTTTGTCAAATCCAGCTCCTGCTGGGTTTATTACAGCATTGCTTCTTAAGCTAGTTATTACCCATCTGCTTTTTCCCATTCTATTTGTTATGGACAACCGCAGTTTAAACTGCCCCAACATCTCCCATAACATGACACTCTCCAGACTGCAAGTTGGCCTCACAACACTTCCCTTGACTTTTTGTGACAAACTCTCACCGTGCACCCACAGGAGCACGTGCAATACCAGCTGACCATTCACAGAGCTAAAAGTAATTTTTCATTTTTGATCACATTCAAAGGTGATGTTTATCATATACTTATCCAATAAATTTCAGCTCTGAAAAGGACAGGCAGCAATTCCTCCATGTTACACAGTCTAAACTGTTACGCAGACATCTAAGCTTGCACAACATCTTAGCGCGTTATGGGTAAATAATCTATTTACAGAATTTTCAAGTTTTTATTTCACATCACAGGAAAACACTGACACAGAAGTCTCCCAAAATGTTAGGAGTAGAACTTACTTTATCCAGAGACCCTTCAATAAAACGGAAACCAATCAGTACAGACTGAAGTCAATTACTTTCTTCATGTTAGCTGCACCGTGTGAATTTTGAAAAGTGCCTTCCCCCTGTCCCTGTTACAGTGGAGTAAAGGGCTGGTATTTTACAGCTACCAATGAAGCCTCCTGTTCTTCCAATCATATCTTAACTGGTATGATATTCATTTACACCAAAAGGTGAAGGATGAAAGTCAAGTACCACATCAGCCATCCCCTTAATTTTTGGTGTAACATTAGTCTGGACATGCCATATGCATGTCAGATTTTTTTTTTTGTTGTCCTCTAAAGAAAAAAAAAAACAAACCCACAACCCAACATAATATATAATAATAAATACGAAAAATAATGAAACTTCAGTTTTCCTGAATCTAGCAATTAAAAGCTCCTCCGTCAGTAGACTGAAGATCAGGAATGCAAAACAGGTATTTTAACCTGCCCAGCAAACACAGCTCAACCTCATTAGATATTACCCAAAACCACAGACATGATGCTGAATTTGGAATCCAGCATTATCAAACTGAAACACTGAATGCCTGTTTGCATGAAAGCTTCATCATCCCTGAGGACTAGCGGACTTCCAACTAAAATTCCTTTTGTTCCTTATACACTTAAACTCCCTTGCAGTGACTGATTTAATAAAATATTTATAACATTTTCTTTCCTTGTCTTGTCTGCACTCAATTTCAAAAGTTACTGAAATTGCTCTGTAGATGTTACTACTGTCTGTGTCCTCCAATGCTGCTGAACAACTGGTTTATTTTAAACCACTGTAAGACAACTTAAAGTAGTTTTGTGTAAAAAAAAAAAAGGAATTTAAGAATACAAAAAAATTCCTTTTTCAGTGCTGCTTACATATACACTTTAGCAAAATGATTAGCTACAATTAGCATGGAGCAAGCACACGTAAGCGGAGCTTGGTAAGATACACAAATCATCAGTTACTATCTTCCAGCTGAAGGACCAATTCCAATTATTTCCCCCTGCCAAGGAATTTATTTTTCTTCATGGAATACAAACATTCCCTTTAGAAACCATTCTTACTGTGATGCCTCTAAGCATCTTCTTGACAGCATGCACAAAAGCTTCAGCACCTCAAAGGATGCAAAAATAAACCTATAAACATAAAGACATTCAAGAAGTTGACCGTTTTCTTAAATCTATTCTGGTGGTTTATGGAAGAATCTCCAGAAGAACTGCTGTATCAAAGACTAGTCACGACAGTGCCATTGACAATATTCCAAGTGTTGAAACTACAAAACAGCCTGCTAGGGACTAAAGTCTTGCAGAACAGGTAAGCAGGGAAATACACAGCTTGAGCATTTTCATAACTCAAGTGAAGCTTGCTGACAGCTTGCTAGCAAGATGCATGGGTTCAGGACCTTGAATCTCCCTGTGTGCTTCCTGACTAGACTTTGTCCTTTGAGGGAAGGAGGGGGAAAAAAAAAAACAAAAAAAAACAAAACAAAACGTAAAACCACCATCTTTAAAACCCTTGCAGCCATCCTTCCCTTTAAGGACAGATGGTGTAACAGGAGGTACGAAAAAGCAGAGAAAAACCACAGGAGCCCTACAGGCCCTTTGAGGATCAGCAGTTATGTTTGCAGATGCAATGACACAGCCAGCGTAAGGAGAACACACGCTCCCATAAACGTCTCCAAGAATCAGCATCATATATATATGTGACCTCACTATAAGCAAAATGCTTTACAATGCAACAAGCAGCCCTTAAATTAAATGAACTCAGGTTTAATATCAAATCCTACGGCAATTATTTTCTGCTCCAAGCTTCTGCACAGCTGTAGCTGCTTTGTCTTTATTATAGAATCACGTTCCAAAAAAGTCCAGCTGCTCTTAAAGCCCGCCCACTTGAAAAAACACATCAGGCAGCTTCACCCACACAATCCTTTCAGCAGAACGTTCACTGTGACTATTTGTGAGTGTTTAACAGGCTGAATATCCGTGAGATTATTTACCAACACTATAGTTTTACTGCACAATGTTTGAGTATGTATTGAAAGAGTTACAGCTACAGTTAACATGTAAAGAATCCCACTTTATGTTTTAAAGATAAATTAGTTATGTATCAATATTTACAGTAGAAAAATCTGACAAATCCTGGGGGTAAAAAGTCTACCTAGTATGTACCTTCTCGGAATGAGTAACAGTACTTGGGTATCCTTAGAAACCAGAAGTTTGCCATTACTGGCATCAGTGACAGCTCTGGCATCAACATACCTGAGCTGGCACAAGCTAGGACAGCTTCAGTATTATTGAATTAAGTTTCAAACACAAAACACACTGCCACAATCCAAAGGGATACATCTTGTGGGTTTTCCTATTTTCACCCACAATATTAGAAAAGAGGCATTTATGCTCCTACATAACCAGAACTGTTGAGGACAAGAGCAGTGGTTCTCAAAAGCTTAAGGAAAAACAAAATCAAAACCACCCACTTCATTCTGGGGAAAAAAGTGCCTTGGGCGTCTCCAGTCCCTTGTGTTCAAACATGCTCTGCCTTGTCTACCAAATCGTAAGAACATGTTCAAGCTGATGACTACTAGACAACCCCAGAGCTCAACAGCAAGACCTAAAGACTAAATTTAATAAAGCCTACACCAGTTTCAGCAAGGTGTTCAGCAGGTCAGCCAGTCAAACCAAGCAGCATGTCTAAAGCAGTAATAAGTCTTTAAATCCTACAAAATGCCAGCAATAAATTAATGGTTTCTGTAACTTGTTGGTGGGTTTTGCTACAGCCTCTAATGCTGGTTCGTGGGAAAAGCACTTATGTTCCTATTTTAAGGGAGTTTCCAGAAGTTTGTGAGCTTCAGGAAAAGCGTGAAAACACGCTCCTAATAGTATTAAAGTACAGCCAAATTCACAGCTTTCCTGTGACTTCCTGAAGAGGCTAACCATCATCAGCACAAAATACTTCAGATCAGAGAAGTATTTTCTGTCAGGAATAGAAGAGAATAGTTCCATTGGAAGGGAACTACGGCCACCACCTAGCCCAACTGCCTGACCACTTCTGGGCTGAGCAAGAGCTACAGCCATGTTACTAAGGGCATTGTCCAAATGCCTCAAACACTGACAAAAATGGGGCACCAACCACCTCTCCAGGAAGCCTGTTGCAGTGTTTGACCCCCCTCTTGGTAAAGAAATGCCACCTACTATCAGTGAGGCATGGTGCATTAAATATCACTTTACACCATCACACGATCATCCTGGCAACACCACTAAGCTGGTCAATAACTTCTAAGGCACGTTTCTGAATGCAGAAAGGCAGAAATCCACAAAAGGAAACAAGCTACACGGACTCTTTCAGTGTGGTAGTTTCACTATCAGTCCATAGGAGCATCAGGGATGCTTTCATATAGACTGAAACAAAACCAAATAAACAATTCCTTCATCATTACTAAGCTCAGTTATCCTCTTGGAAACTTTGTGAGTACTTTATACAACACTCAGGTCTTTTTCACTTGTAACACATTGCACAAACCTTGCTACTGTCACTTAAACTCTGTTTCTATTGTGAACAGAGCCAAACACCTCTAAGCCACGCTTTTACATACCTATTTGTGCAACTACTATCTACCTTGGTTGCTTTTTAAGCAATGAACCATAGGCTTTATGGTGGCCCATGAAATCTGACTGTTTAATGATCTATTTTACATTATAGGAAATTATACACAGCCTTTCCTAGTATATTCCACCTGCTTTTCCCCCCAACCTATTATCCTGTCTTTTGCAGAATACTGAGGAATCAGAAAGACTGACTAAGACACACAAATGCTTTCCTCTATCATACTCTAAACTTTCACTTGTAATACGGTTTATTTTCAAGTATTTGGAATTATTGGTTTGCACAAACATACAAAACAACAACCGGATCAGTCTGTATGTACCAACCTCTGTTCCAATACCCGGTTGAACACCAGAGTATACAGTATCTGGAGGAGGGCCCCCATATTTCCTCTGTCCTGTAGTTACATCCAAAGTGTAACCAGTCCTCTCTAGCAAAGCCTGAAAAAAAATTGTCACATTAGTTATAGGGGTGGAGGATGGCGGGTTAAAACATAAAGAATAAAAAAGCATCCTAAGACAAGCATTTCCTTATCAGCTCCTTGTCACATTTGATAACAAAGTACATATGGACAGACAGAACCTACATAAGAAACCTTGTTATTTTGGGGATTAAAAAAACACCACCACAACCAGTAACATTCGCTTTATACTACAAGGTCACTGGAGAGAACTTGTTTTTCTTTTCCCTTATTTTTCATTTTATATGTAGTACCCCAAGAGCTGCAGAACATCAGGCAACTCTTTTCACTCACTCTGTACTTAGGTTTCTGCACAACAGAAGAGTTACTTAAAATACCAATACCTTGTTGAAATGTCCAATCAGTCTCAAAGTAATTTTACGAGTGTGTAAAAGCTCTAATATAAAAGGATAACTAAGACAATTCTTAAATAGATATCAATATTTTCGTAGATCTTACATAACATTAAGTTCCTGCATTTTGTCAACTCTGCGATCAGGAAGATGTGCATTTCAAACAAGGGCTCTCCCTTTTGTATCTCTATCATGCACACATTTCTTTAAAACCAAGTGTGAATACACTTATCCAGGCAGTACTGCTGCTTTTTAAGTGCATCCAAAACTACCTCAGTCTCCGTACAGCTAATTCACCAGCTAGTACACAATAACCAGTAATTTCTAAATGTTACCTTAATTTTTGCTTCATCTGGTCCCTTCGTTGATTCCTGTACTTTGCTGCCTTGTTTCTCTCTTTGCCTGTAGGTCTTCATAACTCCACATAAAAATGCACTTTTGTTCTGCAGATACAATTTACAAAATAATTCAATTGTGCGTATGAAAAGTCCTGGGAATTCACCGAATCTTACACTCCACACTATGAGGTCACTACATCAAGCCAATGCAATAAACAAAACGTCAAAAGAATCCTTTGGAAAAGCATAACAATTCATTGAACAAACTTGTCAGACTGAACAAATCAGTGGATTTCGAGATAGTATTTTTGTTTTATTTATTTCTCAATAGCACACTCATTTTTATTATCTGGGAGCTTTTGCTCCGCACTCCAACACCTACACATTTAAGGCAATTTTTAACTGGCTTGTGATTTGGGTTTGAATACAGCAACATCAACGAATCTCTGAGTTACAACTGTCCTGCCAACAGTGCCAGAAGACTATTTACACTTATGTGCTCACACTCCTGGAGCTCTCACCTTACCTGTACATGCGACAGGTCACTTTCTTTAAACTGCTGTAATACAGAGAGGGCTCCTTCTTCATTAAATTCCCTAAGAGCATCAATTGCTCTTTCATCAAGATCGACATAAGCTACCAACCCTAAAAGTTAAAGATAAAGAAGTTACAGATTTCTATTGAATTTCATATAAACTAAGAACTATGCAGTTTGCTTTTAAAGTCAAAAAGTTATGTTCGATAGCAACAGAATTATACATTTAATATAACTACATATTCCTATACAAGTATATGATAGAACATGAGTATAACAATGAAAAAAGTTAAATTAAAATGTATATACCTAAGCACTAGCTGACATGCAAGATCATACCCCATGTGTAAGTTTCCTAACATTCAGGAACCCAATCTGCTGCATAAAAGCAGTATCACACACCAGGGTTTGAACCAGTGAACTCTGGCTCACTTCTAATAATTTGGATTTGTTTGTCTTTCCTGTGAAGTTTCATGCTTCCTTCTCTGGAATAGAGCAGTTTTAGAGCGAGCTGACATGTGAACATCACAGGTATCCTACTGCTAGTGAAAAAGGAGCTACCTCACTGACCATCAAATACTTAGGAAGCTCTACCCCACAAAATATTAGGAAGTAGAATGGTTTGTTCACTCCTTCTTCCAACTTCAAAAGCCAAAATCAGTGGACTTTCCTCTATGTATAAATATTTTTTTTCTTTTTTACTCATTTTGTTGCTCTATGCAGTTCAAGAGCCAGAATTCAAAACGGCATTATTTCGAGCCGTGCTATGTACCCGAAAAAGCTAATGTTAATTTTACAGGTACAGACTCCCCCAAGAAACACTGGACCAGTTCTGAAGCATTTTTTAAGGATCTTTGCAGGTTCGTTCTTTCCTTTTGCAATGCACTTGCAGAAGCTGTGGAGCATGAGGAGTACCGACTAAGATATGCCTTTTTTAAACTACACAGCGAAGTTTCGGACAAATACCAAGAACTCCACACACTTTGCAACAGCTTGATCTCCAAAATACACAGATTGTTTAACTGCTACTTGATTTCAAAAACGCACAGTAGTGCCAAGCCCAAGGACTACATTTCAGAAGTGATCCTGCATATTGGAAGGCACCTGTATCTTTTGTTTAAAACCTCAGCGGATTAAAAACCCCAAAGTTCAACCCCAAATTTAGCTTGGGTGTCAAAAGTAGTTTGCTTCACTGACAAACCCCTGCACAATGCGAACATCTTCAGTGGCATTAAGGAAGTGTGAATAAATGACTTGAGGTTACTCATGCAGTGGAATTACACTAGGTAGGCAGCTTCTGGGCTGAAAAGCTTTTAAATCCCTTGAGAACTCCTCACAACACAGCCTGACTGCACCACGTGTTAGAGCCCCACAAGTTCCTCTGCCCAGGCACTGGCACCTTCTCTCCACCAGCACGTGCACGTCAGCGTGACCCGCAGTTAGGAAGTGCGTGTCTGAAGCCAATAAAAGCTCGGAAAGGCTTGACGGAAGCTCACTGCGAATGACTTCCAAATACATCATCCACGGGAGCCCGAGTATCACACTGAGATTGGAAGGTATTGGTTTGGAACTGCCTCGGCTTCATCAGTGGGATTTTGACTCTTTTCAACAAAAACTGTCATCTTGCCACCAAGGCATTCAAGATCAGTGTATAGAGCATTTCTACTGTTTCTCGTAAAGCTGGCCACAGAACACACTCTAAGAGGAAAAGGGAAACTCTGGCTATAGGACAAAATAGGAAGGGAGTTACAAAAATAAAATAGAAATACCTTTGTATATAAAGAAACCTCCCCAGAAGTTGCAGAGACCACTTGCCACTTTCTCTGCCCATGGCAGGGGGGTTGGAACTAGATGATCTTTAAGATCCCTTCCAACCCAAACCATTCTATGATTCTATGATTCTACCAGCAAGGCATTACTCGATTTGCTAGATAGCTTAGTCCTCAACTTTTGTTGAAAAGCAGTTAGTGTCAAACTGAACATTTCGGTGTGATAACCAACATGGATTAAACTGTCCACTCAGAACTAGAGAGAACAAAAAATCCAGAGGCAGACTCAATTCAAATGTAGTCCCAGGCAAGACAAGCTAGTTGCTTCCCTCACTAAGTCATCTATCCAGCCTTTGAGTGTTTAAGAATCACTGTGAGGAGTTGACAGTAGAAAAGTAAAAGCAAAATGATGAATTGGATTGAAGGAAAAAAAACATGTACAGTTTAGTATGCTCAAACATACATCTCCATTTCACATCTAGGAAACTAGTACTCTGTGTCCTGAAGCAACTAAGATATCACATACAACACTACGGATGTGTCAAGTAATTAGTCAATGTCAAACCCAATTTGCCTTTAGGGAAGTCAAAGTAGCAAAACATTCAGAGCTACACAGATCAAAAACAGTAATTTTTAAACCTTAATCTATAAAAATTTGAAAATGGTATGCCCTCACTTTCATAACCAATCAGAAACAAGAAATGCATATTATACCTGTCTGAAATATTTCATCAAGTCTCTCTGCCACCTTCTGTGGGAGGCCTGCCTCTATCAGTGTCTTGTAGTGCTCTGTGTGAGTTACACTGGAAGTATCCATTGGTTCTTCCTCTTCTTTTAACTGTACCGCATTACCATTCACCTGATTAGCCATTTTATTATGCTGCTGGAAAAAATTCAGGAGCTACATTACAATAAGCCAGAAATAACTAGTTTGTAGGACAATGCACGATTTATCTAAACTAATTTGTATACATGCTGCAAATGACCTATATCAAAAGTTTGATTTAATATTTTTTGGATGCAGCTCACCTAAGTTTCAAAAGAAAGCACAACCCTTAATACTATGGAAAATGTACATGGAAGAATTTACATAACTTTTTTTTTTTAAATGTACTTCATGTACATAATGATGTCTAAACTTTATCTGCTGATTGTCAGTGAGTTAATTGGTTACCATAGCAGCTAGAATGTACTGGGATACGATAATAACATCCTTCAATGAAGAATCAGAAAAGCTAGTGCTATTTGCATTTCCCATTCCTCTACTTTTAAAACAATTGTTTAAAATTTAGTGAACACACAACCCTGCAGGGTAGCTTAATGCAGAAAAATGCCAATACTTGTTTGCTAATTTTCACTTTCTCCGCTTGTTGCCATGTCTTCCTTCAAACCCAACGTGCTGCACAGGACTGGACAAACACTTGCTCATGACACTGTCAGAACTCAGTAAGATAGAAAAATTGCACTCTAATGACGTTACAATTCGAATCTGCTACTGAACTGTTTCCATGCTTTCAGCTTCACTCAAACAGGAGCTCTACAAATAGCAGCTACTCTTTTATAACACGTAACTTACTGGTTTAAAAGGAAGCCATGACTGCAGCATCTTCAGTTCTTACATTAATGAAAAGACTTGCTTTCAGAATTAATAAACTGATTCCAAATATGTGCACTGAAAAATGCACAACTATCTTCTCAGACAACTCCAGTGGGCTTTGCCCAATTCAGTAAAAACAGTTTCGAATGCTCAATTAGCCAGCCAGCTGATATTTAGCGCTCTCAAATAAAAAGGCTGACAAGAGAAATTCAACTACCCAGCAGAGAACATCAGGGTGATCAGCTGTTGAGTTCAGATAAGAAATGAGCCTGGGGCTTTAGAAGACAGGGAAGAAGTCCATCGGCAGAGAAACGATACCCAGCGAGACATACGCAGCATGGTTGGAGCAATGCAATTAATACTGGAATATAGGTATGAAGATGGTTCAAGAACAGGTTTTTTAAAATGCTGAAGCCTTGAGCTATTCACTAAGCTGCAAAACAAGTCTCCAAACATAACCACACCTCTAACAGCCACTTGTATCCCCATCCCTTCTAACTACAGCTCATGAACTTCTGGGAAGATATCCTATGAAGATTTGCAAGCTTAAGCAAGGAAAAAAAACACACCATTTTTCTTCTGACAGAAAAGTAATTATTTTACTAAAGCTGTCTTGACTTGAAGGGCAATTTTAGAGAGATGTAACATGGCCTCACATTGTTTCTCTGTCAGATGCCACTTCTTTATGCAATTAGTGAGGAAAAGAAAGGAAGTTTTCTGTAGCTACATACCACATATATATATACACACGCACACATTCTGTTACCTGACACAGAGAAATTGATTTCTAACCAATTCAGTTTACTTAAAAGCCACCGTGACTATAGCCTGATTACAGAAGCAAAAAATTGTTGCCCGAAGACTACAATAATGCTTACCTACCACTACAGGTATTAACTGAACTCTTGAAACACTAACCAAACATGAAGCTTTTATAGGTTACAAAAGCAATGGCACACAAAAATCAGCCAGATGTCTGCTTGCTAGACAGCCTCTGCGAGATCTCAAATTTGGAACAGCGCAGGGCAGAGGGAGCTAGTAAAACTGGAAGTGCTTCAGGGGCAGTGTCATTCTAAATCCATCTTCTCAAAAACGGGTAGGATGATACACACAAAAAACACGGAGAGGGTTGGTTCTTTTTGTTTTCATCTTTTTACTGCCTTACAAAATCACTTACACGTATATTGTCTTCTCTACACACACCAAAAGCCCCGCCAAGAACTGCGATGCTAAGCCAATACACAAGTAAGAAAAGTTATTTGAAACAATCGCAAGTACCTTCTAAACTTCCATGACTGGTTTATGCTGACACTCCTGGACATTATTTTTCTGTGAACCCAGACTAGCTTTCAATGTCACATCCCCAGAAGCCTGGCACTGTTCTCAACGTTGCCTATAACCAAACCAAAGGCTGACAGCTATTCTGTGTCCAGGCAGAAACACCTCCCCTGCAGCTCAAGACTCCAACTTCTGACAGGCACGATCTGCAGCCTAACAGCAGGAAAAGATACCCACCTTCGTCACAAACACGCATCAGTGCACGGAGCAATATCTAACCCCAAGTACCAGGTGACGACACAGCCCCAGAGCTGATCAAATGCGTATTTAAGTAGGCTTTCAGGCAACGTAAAGGAAGCCTCAGCATTTTAAGTCACTAGCTGTATGGGTTACTTTTGCTTCAGAACTAGTATCCGCAGAAAGAGCTGAAGTCAATGCAGTGCATGTTCACCAGCCATAAAAGTTCTGTTTGGGTTATTTTGGTAAATTTGGTAAATTTTGTAAATTTTAGTTATTTCCTGTCACATAAACTTCATTTAAAAGACTTTTCTTAAAGAAGTTTACTCTGGAAAATTTTGAAGTGACATAGCTGTCAGAACACTCATGTCCCAATAGCATCTAGAAGAAATACAATTCTTTTCACAGTTAGAGTAAGAGATTCCCTGCTGGCTTTGCAAACTTGGCCTAAAATCTGACATTAGACCAACTTTTCTTCCTGAAGGATCACCAACAAGTACAATTACATCTCTTCCAATCCCAAATCTGCACTCTGAGTTCAGCAGAGATACAGGGGTGAACATCTTAAGTGAAAGAGATCATTTAGCTTCTCCCTCTAGATAACATCGGCGAGATGTAACTGGCAAGAAAAACATTTTTAACTTGATTTTTATCAGTAAGGAAAACATACAATAATTTTATTAACGTTTTTGTTCTCCTCTAAAAAGGTATTAGAGCCATATTAAGGCAAAAGAGGAGCGATATCTCTATCTGCATGCACAGTGTGCCCATGTGACCCAGGTCAGGCTACGCCACAGCGAAGAGCACCCACACGCACTCAGGAGATTTTCACCTGCATTAAGGAACTCAAACTTCTAGAAAAGAGGGAAACTGAATCAAAAAGATTTGAAGTGAGAATTATCAGTAAAGGACTATGCATATCAGTATGTGTGGGACATGTATTTGTTTAAAAACCACGCAGGGATGGCTGAATTTAAAACAGCACGCACCAAAAGGTGCTCAGCAAAGGAGCAGCAGCAGCAATAAATACACACGGGGGCAACTCTGCCCAGCCGAGGAGAGTTTCATGGGTGCTGAGATGCCACCTGCCTTCACCACCTTCGACCGCGTGTGCAAGCAAGGGGAGGCCTGTCTCGTTTCAGACTTCACACTCTTGCTGCCAACAATGTTTTGCTGAAGACTACGAGTGCTTCATGATATAAAATGGTTTTAGCCACCCACAATCTTTCACCTAGAATTACTGCACCTCAAAAGAGTAATTTTTCAAGTGACTAGTCCCTTTTTAAGCTCTAATCACACGACAAACAGGGGGTTAAATCTACAGGTGCTTCTAAATTACCCAGAAACAGCCTTCTTTTTCATGCTTAGCAACTCGAATTTT